TATTTTATTTCAAATGAGTAACTTTAGTTTCTAATGATAGAGTAATGATAGTGATATTTTTTAGCATTAATCATATATATTCTTCCGTTTAAAAATCAAATTTTTATTTGAAGATCTTACATTTCTTTTAAGAGAACAAATTTGTGTTTTTTTGTTACTATGTGCAATGACTATTTAATGAAACATATAGGATAAGTTTACAAAAATTAATTGGTTTACCTATTTACTGCCCTTAGAGTCAAATTATTGTTGTGTGAATTTAGTAGATGGGGTGGAGAACAAAGTTCAAATATCTTCCTCTTCTTCATCAATGAGTGCCATAATGTTATTTTAAATTTGTACTATATATTCTTTATTTTTTCTAGTTGGAGATCTTTAATTTGTTTCATCAATTTAATTTTTCTCCTTTAATACTTTTAGTTTTGTTCCTGATAATTCCACAAAGTGTTCCCAAAAGATGACAAATTAAATATCGCAATTACACATGATTGTCAATGTCATGTCATATCGTTGAACAATTTTTTTTTAAAGAATAACCTAGCAAATAGAGAAATAATATTGGTTCTTAAGATATGAAAGAAATGGGCCATACTAGAGATTAAACTCAATTCTTATCATCAAATTTGTAGATTAATATAAACTTAGATTGACTTGGATAATTGATCATTATTATTATTAGTTCAAGTTTTGGATACGTTTTTAACCCATAACTAGTAACATTAAAAATTTCTTAACCAACACTACTTAAACTTGTTTGTTGTTTTATTATAGCAACTTCTTTGATTGGTTGAGTAGTCGACTTCACTCTCTTTGCACGATACAAGTTCGTCATGAGATCGCAGTTGAGATTCAAGACCTCAAATACAGGATTTGTCACATAAGTGATTGTCGATCGCGTTATGACATTGCTGCAACGACATTAGGTTCATCCAACTTTGCTAGTGCAGCTGCCCCTTGCTTCATCGACCATCGACTCGACTCCTTGTTCACCCAGGAGGACCAATCGGTAGGCATTGATGAGCCTAGAGAAAAGCTTACAAATTTATTAATTGGGGATGATCTAGAACGTAGGGTCATCACGGTGTTAGGCATGGGCGGACTTGGTAAAACCACTCTCACCAAAAGGGTATATGACGACCCACAAATGGCAGGTAAGTACTTTAATTGTCGAGCCTGGATCACAGTCTCACAGACAGTCAATCTTAATGTACTCCTCAGGGACATCATCAGGAAAGTATTACCTCATGACTATAAAGTAGATCTCGAGAAGATGCAAAAGAAGGATCTCATTGAAGAACTAAAAAAATTATTACAAAACAGGCGTTATATTATAGTGTTGGATGACATATGGAACATTGATGCTTGGGAGAGCATAAAACATGCTCTGCCTGAAAATGAAAATAGAAGTAGAGTTGTAGTCACAACACGGATAAAAGATGTGGCGAACAACTGTTGTGCCGGAGCTGATGGTGTCAACTATGTTTGTGAGTTACAACTACTCTCAAAGGAAAAGTCATTGGAATTGTTCGAAAAGAGAGTGTTTGGTCTCGGTAAGCACTGCCCAGAGCATTTGAAGAAAGTAGAAAATGATGTTGTTATGAAGTGTGATGGACTTCCACTCGCCATTTGTGCAATGGCTGGCATTCTCAAAACCATTCCAAACCTCGATGACCCACAACAATGGACTAAATTACTCGAAAACTTATCCTCATTGCTTGAAACCAATCCAAGACTTGAAGGAATGAAGCATGTACTGTTGCTTAGCTACAATCACCTCCCATACCTTCTCAAGCCTTGTTTTTTATATCTTAGCATCTTTCCAGAGGATCATCTCATTAAATGTAAGAATTTGATTCAACTATGGATAGCTGAAGGGCTAGTGAGCAACCAAAATGCTATGAGGGCAGAGGTTGTGGCAGAATACTACTTCAATGAGCTGGTTAATAGAAGTCTTATCTTGCCATTTGAAGTGGGTTGGAATGGTAAGGTGAAAAGTTTTCGAGTTCATGATGTTATGCTTGAAGTTCTTATTTTCAAGTCAATGGAGGAAAATATGGTTTCAATTCTTGGTAAGCAGAGCAAAACAACTCTTAACACTGAAAATGTGATTCGAAGGTTATCTCTTCAGGGAGAAAGCAATGAAATAAGAGGCATTCTAGATGATGTGGACCTATCAAGAGTTACATCATTGTCAATTTATGATTATAAAAAGACCCCAGCCATGCTTCAAAGATTCAGATTGCTGAGAGTCTTGGTGTTCGAAAATCATTATTTTTTTTCGAGAGAAGAAAAAGAAAGCTTCTTACGAATCCTTTGTAAGTTAAGGCATCTGCGATATTTGAGCTTGAAAGGAACCAATACAAAGTTAGGCTTCTCAAAATCCTTTAGTAAGCTTCAGAATTTGGTGACACTAGACCTACGTGATGAACAAGACATATTTTATGAAGACAGACGCCGACACCAGCTGAATTCTTCGGTTGCAAAACTAAAACAACTTCGCCATCTTCTAATGACTTGTTCATCTATAGAACTTGGAGTGTTGAGAAATCTTAAAGATCTGCAAACATTGGTGGGCTTGCACATTGATAATGTGAAAAAAGCTGAGGAATTAGGGTACCTAACTCAATTGATGCATCTAAAGATCATAGTGTCTATAACCCCAACAATATGTAGCTCCTTATGTGTTTCTCTGAAAAAATTAAGTGAGTCTCTTCTCTCCTTTACCATGTTTGCCATTGCACCATCAAAAGAAATTTTTGATTTGGACTTAAAAAATCCTCCTTCCTTACTCCAAAGTTTTCAAATGGGAGCCAATATTAAAATACCAGATTGCCTTGGCTCTCTTAGCAACTTAGCAAAATTGGGTCTGTCTATAGAAAAAATGGATGACTTGGAAGTCATCAAAACTCTACCCAACTTGCTTTGCCTTACTATATTCAACAATTTGTTACAAGAGTTATCATTTAGTACAGGAGGTTTCCAAAACCTGAAGACATTGAAAATTGAACTACCGCTTCGAATTGAATTCCTAATGGATTGCATGCCTATTCTTCAAAAACTTGTTTTCTATACTTGCTGGGATCTTGCACTTGTTGGAATTGGATTTTTGCCATGCCTCCAAGAGATTCTGCTAATAGTGGTGCCAAAGAGAATCTTAGAAGTAGTAAAGTCGGAAGCAGAGAACCATAAGAACATTCTCAAACTTATGGCATTTCGTGTCGAGTGACAGATATTGACTAAAATAAAAGCTTTGGGCTTGGATGGGTGGCCTACAAGCAGATATTAGAAGTCCTCTTTTAAAATACTTGATTTTTGTATTTTTATCTCCACCAACCAAACACTCCAGTATTTTCTGAAATTGGACATTTCCTATCTTTTTTGAAGTTTATCTCATAATGTAAGACTTATTATAAGTTCAAGAGCATCGATGTGGTTCATGCTCAACACAAGTTAATTATATGATTAATGCTCGAATTATCAATGTACTTTTTTTATTTTAGATTTTCATTTCTAATGAATGGATATTAGTTGTGATAGAGTATTATAATATTAGTTGGAGTTCAATGTGTTATGTTAACATTGCCACCTCATTTTATGAAGTTATCAAAGTGAAAAAACTACAATCAATAAAATTGAAAATATTGAACCATATTTTGATAATTCAAGAGCGTTTTTCTATTGTGCAAGAAATACAATCAATATAATTGAAAATATTTGATTTAAACAGAAAACAATTCAACGGTGAATTTATTATTACGGATATACACTTGAAATATTTATAATATTTATCTTTTCTCATCTGTAATATTTATAAATATCACGCATTCGGAAAAAAATTCCTAGGAAAAACTTCATGGCTTCTGCTTTGCTTTATAGTTAGGTGTCCTGAAAAAAAATTATTTTTTAATGAAAAATTTAAATTTATATATATAATGGTGTTTTGTGTGATCATTTTCATTCTTACATATTCTGCAAATAATTTGGAGCTTCTCAATAGGTTTGACCACATCATTCGGAAAAAAATTCATTCTCTTGGTATTCCTAATAGGGAAAATTTTCGAACTAAGTAAGATTAACAATTAAACTATAAGAATAAGCAAGATTTTTAATTTTTTTTTAAACATGCTTAAGCTCTTAATATAATTTATAATCATGCTTAGTCTTAAAAATTTCCCTTCCTAATATCAAAAGGTTAGCCAAAATCTATCACAGTCAGGCTATATATCTATCCTTCTTTCGCCTCTAAAGTTATCATATCAATAATATAAATTAAGACATATATCTAGAGGAAACTGGCTGAAATCGGTTAGGTTTTGTAGAAAATATGCATTTATGACGGATTTCCGACACGCAAAGTTTCCGCCAGTGAAATGTGCATCCGAAAGTAATCACCGGCCTGAAAAATATTTTAGCAGATTTCTGATAGAATTTTTGCTAGGAATTTCCGGAAAAGCTTTTGATGAGAAATTTTCGGCGTAATTTTTTCATAAGAAAAACTTGATAGAAATTCCGCTGGATTTTGCTGTCGGAATTCCTTCTGCAAATTTTCTTTAAAAAATTTCTATTCGTATTGATCATTAATGTGAATGACAGGGTGAGAAAATTCTGCTCTGCTTCAAATATCGAAATGCTCTCCACCTGTAACACATCTCATTTTAATGATAATTATAAAAGAAAATGCGGAATATGTAGATATTATTCTGCTTAGTCATAAATCAAAATATAATAAGGCAGATAGAGTTCACATAAACCAATATAAATGCTTGAAAGTATTGCTTTGGAGCATTATTGATTGCTTGAAACTAGAGCTACTCATTATCTGCTGTGATTTTTGAGTATTGACAATGCAATATAAATGCTCTTTTAAAATACCAGGATATGAAATTAGAAGATTAATGGTTGTTTCATTACCATTCCCTCTTAACTTTCATCTAATATATACTTAAAGTGTTATTACCATTATATTTAATAATTTGTACAAAAAAGTTATGAAGTAAAGGTAAAAGCAGACGCAAAGAGATTAGAGAATGTAACCTCGATAAGATCATGAGTGATCGTGTCTATTCGGTTGGAGAAATTATTCTGTGCGGATATTTGGAGCCCATTGAATATGCGCCATGTCACTGTGTGCTCGGTATCTTGCTCGGTACTGTACCAGGCGACAAGGCTGCATTTGATTCGCCTCCGGATGCAAGCTATGTCCGTTGTCTGCACAAAATAATTTGTATGGTTTAAGATTCTCACGCTAATTGCTTAATATGGAAAGGAAGAAAGGTATTAGTGAGGAGACACTCACACTCACACTCATAAGGTGTAAGAAAAAAAAAACCTAATTAGTTCAGAAGAAAATCTGCACTTGTCCTGTTTGGGAGTTAAAAAAAAATAAAAATTTATGTGCCTATTTGATTTAGAAGTTAGAAAACTTACAGCCACTTAGCCTCAACTCCAATCGTATTCACAAGAAGCACTGAGCTCCGCTTTGAGCTTCAAGTGTAAGTAAGCGTCCTTAACTTCATTTGACAGCTACTTTAACACTCCAAAAATTGAAGGGAATGGAGAGGGACAGAGTGGTTTGTGTGACGATCCTTGAGCTGTGATGAGGGATGGAGCGGCCGAGAGTTGCGTTCGGGAGATAAAAAAAATGTGAAACGGGGAAGGTGAATGGTTTTGGGGCGAAATCGGCTCTATTCGGCGGCTTTTCCGATGAATTATTATATCATAAACTAAATAAATTTTATAAAAAAAATTCATCAGATATTTTCTTGTATTAATTACTTATAAAATTTTAGGCAGAAATTTATAGCAAAAAATTTTGCCGGTAATGATCAATTTTTTTGTAATAATATATGCTTAATACCTATACCAATCATATTTTCCCACAATTATTTTAACGTTACAAGCAAAATATGCCACCAAAAAATAAAGTAAAACTCAAATTGCCTTGGTAGGTCTTCACCTCTTTTGGATTTCCCTTTATAAAGCCCTTGGATTCAAAGTTTTTTTTTTTTAACCCACCAAATCAATTTATTCCTTGACTCCAAAGTCAACTTTGCAACCAACATCAAATGGTATGAGAGCTCAAGACAGAGAGCAAACAAGGAGCAACATATTATCACCAAAAGACACTTTCATTCCACTAGTGGTTAATATTTGTCTTTTCACTTTCTTTTTAATTTTAAATTGATAATTTATTACTCATATTAGTGTTGATAATTATAAAATATTTGGAAAAACTTGTTTGTGTTCAACTATTAAACCTGTTCCAATATAATTCGGGATTCCGAACTTACGATTTTGATGATAAAAAAATTTTTGTTATCAAAAAGGTTTAATAGCAGAGTTATAAACTGCGTCTGTGATTCTGATAATAGCAGAATTATGATGAATATGAATCTTCCACAATAAATATATGTTATGTGGTAAAAAAAGGAGACGTGAAGATCTACATCTTAATGGTGCAGTACAAAATTGAATATAACACTCAAAACTTCCTATGAAATATGAACAAATGCTTATCTATTTTATGCTCTTTACTTTCATACTATCTATTATGAGCATCACTCATTAACTAGACCACTATCCTGACAAATTATATCATAGAGTTCAATAACATAGCAGATGGTGTATTATGCTAGTAAAGCTTTATTAGCACTTTATCCATTTGTCATTCCTTGTTCTGGAGAATCTATGGAACAAAAATCACAGTATCCTTAACACCAAATAATCATATATAATGATTTAAAATAATGCATATTTTGGTATGAGCGAAAGGAAAGATCAATCTCAGAACTATCTAAATTTCTACCCATCATATAATTTATTTTATGGCTCTTCTTTCAATTGATTAATTGCTATGATGCCATATTTTTTTGTCACAACTCAACCCAAAATAACTCATATTCTAATGGGTCATATTAGATTAGGTGCCTGACAAAAAATTTTATTTTTATTCTACTCTGTAAAATAAAGTTTGCTTTAAATGACATTACTATAAATAAAAATGACAATTCATAAAAACTGGCCGAAGTAATAATAATCTTGGTACATGCAAATAGTTTATACTAATTTCAAGCCTCCAAATGTAATTTTGATGAACGAAATTCCTTTTCTTATTATATAAATATTTAATAAATAAAGGCCATTTACATATCCTACATATGATATAAACAGATAAAACTTAGTATTTTTTTCTTTAGCTCGTAAGATTGCTTTTCTTTTTTGGTTGGAAACTCATAATTGGACCTACGCGTTGATTAAAAGGAAAATTACAAGTCCTTAAAGAACATTCGGCTCTCTAAAAATACAACATTTGAAATAAAACCTACGAGCCAAAGTTTCCACCTATTACACATAAGAAAAACAAAAAAGAAAAAATAAAGTTATAAGAAATGAAATGAGGGACAACTCCATAAGTCAACAGGTATATCCACTGATCCAGAGAGTAGTCAGAAGATCTAGAAGTTAAACCTGCACGTGGCAATCAAAGAATCCTACAAGAGAAAAAGACAAACCACGAGCCTTGAAACAACAAAAGACAAAGGAGAAAATCCTAATAATGTTTTTTTTTTTTAATTTCCTCCGCCTTCTTTTGCTACTACTACGAGAAAACACTTCCTGATTGAGACGCCCAACATTCAAACTATATAAGTCATAACAATCATCCCAGGGTCACCCAAAACATCTCTAATAGTACTGCAAGGAGAGGAAACAGACCCCACAAGTCAGCATGATTAAGGATTTTCAAGAAGGATTCAATAATCCCTATATATATATATATATATATA